TTGGAAAAATTGAAAGTAAGTGAGCAGCAAGTGAAATCAGTCTGTGAGATCACGAAAGAGCAACGTGAATGTGGAGAGTGGCATGTGGTGAGAAAAGGACGTTTGACTGCTAGCAATTTTGGTCCAGTTCTTGAAGCAAAAAGAGTCACTCCTTCCCTTATCAAGCGTGTTCTTGGAGAATACGACATCTCTCGAGTGCAGGCTGTTCGATGGGGTGTCGTTAACGAGAAAGAAGGAATAAAGGCCTTCACCAAATTAACAATGAAAGTAGTAAAGGATTGTGGCCTTTGGCTACACAAGTCTGGTGTTTTGGGTGCATCACCAGATGGACTTGTTGATGACAATGCGATCATTGAAGTCAAATGCCCTTACACACATCGCAATTCAACAATTGAGGAGGCTGTTAAAGACCCTAAGTTCTGTTTAGTAAAGAGAGATGCTGGCTATTGTTTAAAACAATCCCACCACTACTGGCATCAAGTCCAGGGTCAGCTGTTTATAACTGGGAAGCAAATCTGTTACTTTGTGGTTTGGACAACAATGCAAACTGTTGTGTTGGCAATCCAGAAAGACTGCACATGGGAACCAAATCTTCTTTCACTTCAAGAATTTTATACAATTCACATGATTCCTGCACTTGTTGATGGTGGTCTTTAAATTTTAAGACTTTGTTGTAAAATTAATGTAGTTTTTTATAAAGTAATGGATTTGATAATACATACTTTTAGAAATATTTTTTAAAATATTGTTTTATTTGGTAAAATCATTGCAACTTTTACAACAAATATGCAGTAACTGAAGGGTGTATATAAAATAAAAATGTTCATGTTAATCTTAAAATTGTTTTTCTTTAAACAGCAACATTTGCTGGGGTTTTTACATTAGCTACTTGAGACAAGAAAATGATAGATTCATTGTAATCGTATTTGAATACAGTTGGTTATCTGAATTCATAATAAGACTAGCATAAGGGTGTGGTGGCAGGAATACTGATCAGAAATAAATAGTTTGTCATTAAGTTGTGTATCATGATTCCTTGTATCATGAGCAAGTAAAATAGGGTTACAAGCTTTTCACAGATCACACAACACCTGTCCACTCTTTGTATCAGAATACAGTTAATTGATTAACTATGATCAGACAATGCCAATGTATACCAGGCCTTAGTAAACTGATGTAAGATGATCAATATTTCAATTAAAATGACTAATCAAAGTCAACAGTGTCATTGGTTTCCTTAATTAATGGGTTTTGTAAATTAACTAAAGCACCACATAGCTGTATAATCTTACCAGAGAGGGATCGCAAGTATGGTGGCACAAAATTTAAAATTTTATAGTTCTTCAATCTAGCATTAGCACGTTCTACGTGTATACGACATTTTGCAATGCTCTTTGTTAACTTAACTTCACTTTCTGTAAATTTTCCATTGTTCAAGAATGGGGGAATGTTCACATATACACCATTAGGAACAATATCATTTATCAAAAACCCTTTATCCGCAAGTATAATATCCCCAGCAACAAAATGCTTTAATATTCCTGACTTTTGAACCGTTACTTTATCTGATACTGAGCCAGGGAAAAGTTTACTTACATAAGTTATAACCGCGTTGGGTGCCACACCAACAATTGTCTTAAAAGAATTCATACCCCTGTACGTTGAATATGTCAATTTTTGGTCACTCATAAGCTTAGGTGTAGCAACCTCGATATCGGTGCAATCTATTACCATACGACAGTCTCCAAATAAGCTAAATGAGCCTGGAAGTGAAGTTTTGTTTTTTTGTCTGGATGGAACAGCTATCTCCATTTGATCTTCATATAGAATTTGGTGCAAAACATGGATAAATGTTGTCACAATATTCGCTATTGTAGCAGTACTGCAACTAAAAAGTTCAGCTAAATGTAAGTTATGATAATTATGTCTAATCTTCATCAATGTTATCAATATTTGATCTTCAAAAGATATCTTGTCTACTTTCCAGCCACACACGTAAACAATATCGTTGCGGTATCTTTCGGCATATTCGACAACAATGTGGAACATTTCTTTGTTTGGGAGGCCAGTTTCCATGTTGATTACCTTTGAATCCATGTTAAAAGAGCTGTAGTTTCTTTTTAAGTAGCTTTCTTTTTCTTTCAACTCGGATACTTGGGTCTTTAATGTCCCTAGCTCTGCTTGTAGCAGGATATTTTCAGTCTGCAAAGTAGTGCATTTCATTTGCATCTCCTCGCAACTGAGCTCGCAAGGCTCGTTCTGGTTGCTCTTCGTCGAAGATTCTGAAAGGATCTGCTCGATAGTCGTTGTCTCTGGGACTTCAGTTCTTTGCTTTTTCCTTTTTGGAGCATTTCGAGATTCAAATAGTTTGTCTTTATTCCAGGAAAAGACCTCGGGGCCTTCTTCTTTACTTCCTCGGAAATGACAACTACAAACTCGAGCGCCTTTGCCAGGTTCACGATCAGCTCGTCTGGAGAGAGAAAACGAAGGTTTTAAACTTTAATCATAACGTAAAAAAAAGCTTTTTTTCTCTCTAGAGGTCTTTCAAAGGTATAATCCACAGGTCAGTGCACTTTTGAGTGGTTAAATAAAACCATCTTCCGCGTAACTATAACCGACACGTGGCCGTGCATCATGGTGGTCATTGTACCAAAAATCAACCTACCTTATTAGAGAAATCCATTTTCTTCTTTGAGCAGGATCTTTGGGGAAACGGTAAAAGCTGCAATTGTGACTTTCTGACTGATGATTGCAGTCGGGAACGAAGCATTGGCCCATTTTATGATGAGATGTAACGAAAGACGCCAAATAGTGTTTAGATCCAGCAAAAATGCTACCATGGTAACATGACGTCACACTTCGGCACTCTCATGTACGCTCCCGACGGTGTTAATGATCCGACACATCCTCTTTACGAAGGTGGATCTTTTGATATTCACAAAGCCATTGGAAAACTACCGAAACCGAAATCCGGTTGGACTCTTCCAGGTCATAAATACACGGGACCGTACAACAATCTTGAGCAACAGGTTCGATACGATCCGAATACAGGAAAGATTCTCGAGATTTTTGATAAACCGACAGGTCCGACAGACGCTGTCGCCATGCAACACGATGTTGATTACAGCGTCTGCGGTAAAAAAGGGAAAAACATCACGCAATGTAAGAATGCGGCCGACCGCAAGATGGTTAAAGCTCTCGATGCGATTCCATTTTGTGAAAGGCAGTGGGGTCATTGGGCCGCTAGAAACATTATCAACACAAAGCAAAAGTTGGGTTTGGGAGTAAAAAAAAAGACGAAAAATTGAAGGGGTGGCAAGAAGAATTGGCAGATGAGTTGCACAAACCGGTGAGACGAAACTTTAGAAAACGGCGCGTTATTGTCAACGGAATCGATGAGATTTGGTGTTCCGATTTGGTAGAGATGCAAAAGTTTGCAAAGTGGAATAAGGGTTATCGTTATCTGTTGATGGTTTTGGATGTCTTTAGCAAATACGGTTGGATCGTTCCGTTGAAGAATAAAAAGGGTGAGAGTGTTGCGGAGGGTTTCGAGAAAATATTTACCGAGGGTCGGGTACCGAAGAGGCTCTGGGTTGATAAAGGAACGGAGTATTACAACAGTCATGTCAAAGATTTGATGAAATCCAAAGGTGTTGTGATGTATTCGATAGAGAATGAAGAAAAATCGTCTGTCTGTGAGAGGTGGAATCGAACGATCAAAACAGATATGTGGAAGCAGTTTACCATTCAGAACAATACACAGTATCTCGATATTCTGCCACGCATCGTCGAAAAGTACAACAATCGAAAACATAGATCGATCGGTATGACTCCGACAGAGGCTTCAAAGAAAAAGAATGAGAATGCAGTCTTTCTAAAACTCTATTCCAAAGAGCTTGCCCTCTGGATCGCCCCTACAAGGGGTAAACCCCTCGTGATCCCCTTGAAACCAAAGTTTGTGGTCGGCGATCACGTTCGAATTTCCAAATTCAAACGAAAAGTGTTAGATAAAGGATTCACTCCGAATTGGACAGAAGAGATTTTCGTCGTTGATGAGGTTCAATATTCCAACCCAATCACTTACAAGTTGAAGGATTTGCTCGGAGAAGAGATCAAAGGTTCATTTTACGAACAGGAAATGTTGAGAGCAAAGCAGGATGTTTTCCGCATTGAAAAGGTTATTCGAAAGAGTAAAGGAAAAGCTCTTGTAAAGTGGAGTGGTTATCCAGAAAAATTCAATTCATGGATTGATGAAAAAGATCTTCAGGGGGTATGATTCGAGCTCCCCTTGTGATTCGAAATGATTTAAAGAAATAGAAAAATTAGTTAAATGAACAATCTTAACGATCTTAACGATTTAACAAGAATTGCACTTCTCAAACAAGCAAAGAATATGGGTCTGAAAAGATTTTACAATCTCAAAAAAGCGCAACTCATAGAGTTGATCAAAAACCCACCAAAGATAGATTTAGTTTCAACATCAAAGATAAACGATCCTGATCTAGATGATCTTGATCTAGACGATCTTGATTCACTTTCAAGACCTGCGCTGTTGGAAAGAGCGAAAGAGATCGGTTTGGCGGGACGTTATATACTAAAGAAAAAAGAATTGGTTGAATACATAAGAAACCCTCCCAATAAAAAAGAAAGAGTCGCGAAGAGAAAAGTAATACTAAAGCCTGTTAGAGCTGCCAACCCCTCGAGCTCCCCTGCAGGGTTGCAAGAAGAATTGGCAGATGAGTCTGATGAAGGGGCAGAACTTGTTTTTCCCTCAATGTATGCTGCTGCAAAACATTTTAACATAAACCCTGGAAAATTTGGTGTGAAAATTCTTGGAAAAAAAGAAGAAATGAAGAAAACAATAGATATTGATGGTGTGAAATACATAATTAGATTTG